ACCAGAAGGCTGGCGGTTCAAACCCACCAGCCACTCCTTGGAAGGAAGATGGGGCAATTTACTTCCGTAGTGATACTGCCTCAGAAACCCAAGGAAGGGATGCCATGAGTCGGGTCCGACTCCACAGCACATAACAACAACAGCAACAATGGGAGCTATGGTAGCATAGTGCCTAAGGCACTTGACTGCTAACCAGAAGGCCAGCGGTTCAAACCCACTAGCCGCTCCTCGGAAGGAAGGTTGGGCAATCTACTTCTGTAGTGATACTGCCTCGGAAACTCAAGGAGGGGTCAGGTCACTATGAGTTGGAGCCAACTCAATGGCACATAACAACAACAACAATGGCTAATGATTGTATTTCTTCATGTGTTTGTTGGCCGCCTGGATATCCTCTTTGGTGAAGTGTCTGTTCATGTCCTCTGCCCATTTTTCAATTAGATTGTTTGTCTTTTCAATGTTGAGATGTTGGAATTTTCTATAAATTTTAGAAGTAAAACCCTTTTTGAATATGTTGTTGTGGAATATTTTCCCCCAATCTATTCTGATTTTACTCTTTTGGAAAAGTTTTTGATGTGCATAACACTTTAATTTTAAAAGGTCCCAATAATCTAGTTTATCTTTTGCTGTTTGCACATTTTTAGTTATGCTTGATAGTCATGTCACATATTGTTGTTGTTATGTGCCGTTGAGTCAGACCTGACTCCTTGGGTTTCCGAGGCGGTATTACTGCGGAAGTAGATTGCCCAGCCTTCCTTCGGAGGAGTGGCTGGTGGATTTGAACTGCCAGCCTTCTGGTTAGCAGTCAAGTGCCTTAGGCACTATGGTACCAGAGCTCCTATGTCATATTTTAGGGCCCCTATTTTTTCTTTTGATGAATTTTATAGTTTTAAGTTTTACATTTGATTGTTTGATCCATCTTGAGTTAGTTTCTGTATGTGATGTGAGGTATAGGTCTTGTTTTCATTTTTCTACAAATGAATATCCATTTTTGCCAGCACCATTTGTTGCTTTTTTTTTTTTTTTTTTTTAATTATGCTTTGGGTGCAAATTTACAGAGCAAATTTGTTGTACATTCAACAGTCTGTGTGCATTTGATTTCACACCCCAATTACCATCCCCAGCCATAAGAAACTCTCTTCCCATCCTGTCCCTGTGACTTCCCCCTCCCTGTGCCCATCTTAACTATGTACTCCTGTCTGTCCAGCTTTCCCTCTGTGTGAATGCTGTCCTACTGGTACCTCACAGCTGATTGCTGTAAGGGCTATATCTCCTTAGAATAGGTGAGTGCATCGCCCTGGAGTAGGTGTTCTGAATATAGGTCTTTCTGCTGTTGTGCTGAGGAGCCAATCCATGGGAGTGAGTCCAATTCTAGGCCCAAAGAGTAACCTGGGGCCATAGTCTTCAGGATTCCACCAAACTCTATCCGACCAGTAATTCTGGTCATTTTTCTGTTTTTGAGTTTTGTTTCACATTTTTCCTCCCACTCTGTCCAGGATCTTCAGTTTTGATCCCTTTCCAAGTGGATTGCATTGGTAGTCAGGTGCTAGCACCATTTGTTAAAGTGTCTCTGCCCTATTCAGTGGGTTTCAGCCCTTTGTCAAAGATCATCTGTCCATAGGTGGATGGATCTATTTCTAAATTTTTAATCTGTTCCTCTGAAAGACTGATAGATTTAATTTTATGTGTGTATGTAAATACATATATGTGCAGTCCCCAGGTTACACGTGTCCAGCTTACAGAATACTCGTACATGTTCTGAGAAAATTTAGTTATATAAATTTGCCCTCACCTTGAAAACATTACAACCAACGCTTATTTGAAACCAATTCTTCATCACAATCACCTTCACTTGCTAGACGTGAAGCTTTCAATCATTGAAACATTTTAGAGCCATGTATTGCTCTCAAGTAAGGCTAAATGAGAACTCTATTCACCTGTACCAATTTATCTACAGATTTGACTTAAAGTCACACTTAGGAATGGATCTTGGTTTTAACTCAGAGACTGCCTGTATTTATAGAAACATTTGTGCACTGACCCACTGAGGTATATTCTTTGAGTTGTCTTTCTAAAATTAGTGATAGATTTTTGCCATTTTGACATACTATCGGAATAAATTTGCAAGATGTGCTTATAGTAAGGTTTGCAGTACAATCCAGGCCCATAGTATCTTGTCCTTGTTAGCATGATGTCACCCTAAATGCTTTCTTTTACAAACACTTGAATGCTCAGTATGTGCCACAAAATCTGTTAACTACTAAAGTAACAATGTTGAATAAAATAGATAATATCTCCCTTTAATGAGCTTTAAACAAACAACTGATAACAAATAGGAAATACCTTTAATTACTAAATCAAACAAATGAAATGGTGATTGATTTTTCATCCTTGTTCTTAATGTAGTGGAAGCTAGTGAATGTAGTGAAAGTATAAAATAGATATTTTTAAAAAGTACTGTGATGTTTTAAGAAACGTGAAATTTGCAGTTAGGATTTTTATTTGCTTTGTGTATAGAATTTGTACTTGTGTTTTACATCTATGTCATAGTTTGCGAACTTTAAGAAGCAGTTTTTGTAGGTGAAGCAACATGAGACAGGGAGAAGAGTAATCAGATACTTGGATTCCATTTCTGATTGATGTATTATAATTAAGCAAATTTGTATGTCTAATTTAGATATAATTTATTTTAATCCTTACATGTCTTTCTTAGGCTCTATGTAAGGACAACATCTACCCAGCTTTCCAGATGTTTGCTAAAGGTTATGGGAAGAATAATGAGCCTCTTCGTGGTTACATCTTAACATTTTTAATTGCACTTGGATTCATCCTAATTGGTTAGTCATAGAAATGGTATACCAATGTAGATTTTGATAGAATTTTAGTATTATAAACAAAATATTACTTTGCCTAGAATACAGTTAGCTTCTTTCTTACCAATATGTTTGCTAAAATTATTACAATCACTAAGTCCCCATTAGGACTAGAGGGAACTGCTAAATTCTTTCCCTAAAAGAAATGTGTAAATTGCATAAAGAAAAGGATCTCAATTCAGTATTCTCCATGAAGGTGGAGCTTCCCTGAACTGGGTTTTCTTTTTTGTTGTTGTTTTTCACTTGTACTTTGATCTTAAGGAATGAACCATCAACTGCTAAAGATGAATGACATTAAAGTTTTAACGAATTTCATGTAACCCCTCAGAGTAGTATACATTAGAAGTCTGATCATACCACCAAATGTGTGGGCTTGCATAGAAACAAACTTTCTTGTAATTCTGGTAGGTATGTATTTGGTGTATCTCCTTTTGAAGAACAATTTGGCAGTATTTAGTAGTTCCCCATGGTCTAGCAGTTCTGCTTTTAAGTGTATACTTAGAGCAACTCTCCATATATGCCCAAAGAGTATCTACAAAATTGTTCATAATGTTTTTAATTTTAATAGTGAAAAATTTGAAAACAATGTAAATATCTATCCAAAGAAGAATAAACTGAGGAATAGTATTCAGCAGTTAAAAACTATCTTGCTTTTCATGTGTTGATAGGAGTGAATCTCAAAATCAAATTACAGAATAATATAGTAATATATTATTCATGTAGCTTTTAACTGAAACAACAACAACAATATCAAATAATATTTATGGATTATATATGTGTGTTATAATTGGAAAGAATAAACCAGTACCAGATTAGTTGGTTATAGAGGAGGTTTCAAATGTGTTTAAGAATGGATTTCTGGAAAGCAAAGTATATGAAGCATATATGACAAAATGTAAATATTTATTAAATCTGGATGGTGAGTATAGAGATGATTATTATGAAGTTTGAAATACTTATTAATTTTAAAAGTGTAAATATGCCTAATATGTCATGAAGTTGATCTCATGTTTCTTTTACAGCCGAACTGAATGTTATTGCTCCGATTATCTCTAACTTCTTCCTAGCATCATATGCATTGATCAATTTTTCAGTATTCCATGCATCTCTTGCAAAATCTCCAGGTGATTTTTTTTTTTTTTTTAATGTTTCATAAATGGCAGAATGTTTTTGATTTCAGAGGAAAAAACACAATAATTGTTAAAAGATGTTATTATAGAATTAGCTTGTTAATGCTTAGTCTGTCTTTATACAGTTCAATTAAATTATTTAATTTATATAAATCTTTAAAGATCTCTTATGAACTTCACTGATTGTACTCTGTTTCTTCAAATAGCATTAATACCTAGTTCTGACTAACATTGTGAAAAAATCTTTTACTATTGGTTTTTCTGAGCTTTTATTCCCCTCTGTTTATTTAGCTGATTTACATTTTATTGAATTCTAAGAACATTATTATGCTATATAGACAGTCCCCATATTACAACCATCAGATTTATATATAAGCCATAGTTACAAATCATCCCTGTAAAGCCTGTTATATTAAAAATTCAAGGTATACATAATGTTTCATAATAACAAATAGGCACTATTTTGCAGTGCACATCAAAATATTATTGTTATTTTAAACACATTTCAGTGTACCTAAAAGTGTTTCTTGAATATTTTATGCATGGAAAGGTATACTATATACTAAGAAAAACATTTGACTGGCAGACATTAGGTAAAAACCATACCTCTGACTGCTCTGAATTAGTACAAATTCGACATAAAGACAGATTTGGGAACAGAACTCATTTGTAATCCAGGGAATGCCTGTAGTTAATGTTTCCAAAAGGAATTCTGGATGGTGCAGTGGTTAAGCACTTGGCTGTGAACTGAAAGATTGGAGGTTTAAACTGACCAACTGCTCCACAGGAGAAGAATGTGGCAGTCTGTTTCTGGAAAAACACAGCTTTGGAATGCATAAGGCAGTTCTCTTCTGTCCCATAGGGTTGCTGTGAGTCAGAATCAACTTGATGGCAATGAGTTTGGTTTTGTTTAACCTTTTCCAGAAGTGTTTTAACACAATGAGTTCTAATGTAAGGAGTCTTTATTAACTGAAAAGTGTATCTGTGTGTGTGTGTGTGTATGAATTTTTAAATTAAGTACGTCAGCAGTTGGAAATCAGGAAAGATAATAAATGAGCAAAAGCACAGTGAAAAAATAGAATAGGAAATATGAAGTATGAGTATTGGGGGCACAAATATTTTAGCTTCAATTATTACTTTAAAAATACAACTTTACTGAAACTGTTTTAAAAATATTTTTATCTGTGGAACTACATATAAGAATTCCTTTAAAAAAAATTAAATTATGATCAAACATATATGAGTAGTTATTTTCTCTTAAGAAAATTTAAAAACATGTTGTTTGAAATTTTTTACTGTGTGCTTATAATATTTCCCCAAATGATAAAGTGTGTGTTTCTGTAGTCAATTCTTAGTTTTTCTAGTGGGTGAATTTTTAACTCTTCCTGTGAATGCTTTGTTTGAACCATTTTGTATATACATTAGCATATGATATATATATATCTCGTGTTAAAACCAAAAAATAAAGCCACACTACTGAAAACTCAATTTGAAAACTTCCTTCTTTATCAGACTTTCTCTAGTGTTTAATATTCAGTGTGCTTGGTTGATTTATATTTTTTTGTAAGGGGTTTAATGAAAACAGAACCACTAAGATAGAATAATGTGGAAGCAGATAAATATGCCCTCTTTGTGTCCATCAAAAATCTTAAAATCCAGTTGTGGTCAGGAATAGTCATTGACATTGCTGGTACATACACTTAATGCTTTAAAGCACTCTCAGTGTGGCGGCCACAGAAGAAGTTATTTTGTACATGTAAATGTACCATTACATAAACAGATGAGTCATTTCAGTGATTTTTCTTTTTAAATCAATTGTTTTTGTTGTTAGGATGGCGCCCTGCATTCAAATACTACAACATGTGGATATCACTTCTTGGAGCAATCCTTTGTTGCATAGTAATGTTCGTCATCAACTGGTGGGCAGCATTGCTTACATATGTTATAGTCCTTGGGCTGTATATTTATGTCACCTACAAAAAACCAGGTCAGTTGCTTTTACTACTTAGTATTTCAAGCTAGACAATTTATAGAACTTCTTTATTTCAATCCTTAAGTATCATCTTTTGTATAGTTAAAGATACATTTATATTTTGTATAAAGCCGACTTTTTTTCCAAATGCATGTGGCTTTAATGAAGGAGTTGCTTTGAGATACTTTATTCCTATGTAATTGTATTTTTACCCATACATTCAGTTTTAAATATAGAACAATATTAAATTCATACAATTAATATTCTGCTGCACTCGGTATATTTTAAAATTATTGTTTGAAAGGGTTCAGATATGTAGTAGTGCTATAGGTTATTAGCCCAACAAGCATATATGTTACCTACTTAGTTACCTTTTTTTGTTACTTTTTAGTAGGAATTATGGAATTCACAAAATACTACAAGACATATTATCTACCCAGTGGCTTACTGTGTACCTGGGAATATTAAACAAACATGTTTTAAGTATAAAACAGATTATCTAGCATGTGCTATATTGACAAAAGCTAGGTATCTCCAGGGAAGAGGATGATACTAGGGTATATTAGAATTGGTCCGGTATTCAGTATTAAAACCATCATATAGTCTTTTTTTTTTTCTTTTTAATTGCGATTTGGGTGAAAATTTACAGAACGAATTCACTTTCCACACAGCAGTTCACATACACTTTGTGTCATGACATTGACCACAATTTACCACAATGCAACAACTCCCTTTCCACTTCCTCCCGATAATTACCTCTTCCCTATGTCCATCCTTCCATGCCTTCCTGCCCCCTGAGCTGTCTCCCTGTGTAGCCCTTCTTTCTCCCATGATTGTTCTCTCCAAGGAGTGTATCTACCTTAGGTAAATGTTCAACTCATATGCCTGTCTTTTGCTTGGGTGAAAGCCACAGGTGTGGGTTCAATTCCAGACCTGACGGGCAGCTAGGGGCCATAATCTCAGTGGTTCCACCAGGCTCTGTCAGACCAGCAAACCTGGTCCCCCCCCCAACCTTATTTTTTTTTCTCCAAATGATTTTGAGTTTTGTCCACATTGTTCTCCCTGTCTATCCAGGATCTCCTACATAGATCCCCTTCTAAGTGGTTGACATTGGTAGCCAGGCACCATCTAGTTCTTCTGGTCTTGTAGTCGTATAGGCTGCAGGTTGGATGGTATACCAGTCACTAGAACTGATTGTATCCATGAATTTTTGGTAGAACCATCATAGAGTCTTTTTTTTTTTATTATTTTTAATTGTGATTTGGGTGAAAATTTGAAGAAAGATCCAACGAGAAAGGCTAGAAAAGATTTGACCTAATGAAATAGATTAGGAAGAGATTATAACAATGTTTGCAAAATAGTAGTTTTAAACAGTGAGGGGACATTTTGTAATCCATGAGAGATGAGGTGTTTTGGATTAGAGTAGTGGCTCTAGAAATGGAATGCACAACAAAGCTGTTATTGTTTCAACCATATTAGAACCAATTATTTCAATAATATGCCTATTAAGTCTCCAGAATAACAAATGTCTAAAATCATTTGTTATCCAAAATGTTTAATAAGAAATAAAATCTGCTTGTTCAAATACCCTAAACAGTTAATTACTGTAAGTAGTATAAACAGTTAGATTTGCTAATTGTACTATGCCTTTACCCCCTTAGACCTTTGGATATATTTATAAACAATGAAAAGCAATGTTCTCTTTTTTTTGACTGAAACTCTTAATAAGTTGCATATACACAGCATGTCTGCAACCATATCTCAGTCTTTTCTAAATTACACTTTTTCTTTAAATGCAAGTATAGTAAAATTAGCATAGCACTTATTTTAATGCCATGGACTTTAACTACCAAAATTTCAGAGTACAATAGTTTAATTTAATAATTGACTTTTTAAATATGAAAGCATTATATGACTTTCTGTTTGTATCAAATTGATTATTGATGGGTAGATAATGTTGTTACTGTACTACATGTGCACTCTTCCCACAGATGTGAACTGGGGATCCTCTACACAAGCTCTGACCTATCTGAGTGCTTTGCAGCATTCGATTCGTCTTTCTGGAGTGGAAGACCATGTGAAAAACTTTAGGTAAGCAGTAAGGTATTATGGAGACATTTTTCCTGGCTGGCAACCAATTCTTTGCTCATTGTTCAGCATTTTCATGTGTTGTTATTTCTTAAAAAGTTATCTAAAAGCATAGAATATTATTTTTTGTATAGTAGAACTTTGCCAGTTTAATTATTGAAAAAGAAGGCTGAGGTTCCTTGATTTTCAAAATTTTACCAAGAGAAAAATTGTCTTTGAAAAGTATTAGGAAGGTATTGGAATGCTCACATTTGAAGACTTCAAAATGGTGGCTAACAATAAAGTGATCAGTTTTTTCCCTCTTTGGCTATTGAAATCATGTAACCACTATACAGATACACCTCAGAGATAATCCAGGTTCAGTTCCAGAGCACTGCAATAAAGTGAATATCACAGTAAAGCAAATCACACAGATTTTTATGGTTTCCCAGTACATGAAAAAGTTATAGTTACGCTCTCTTTTAATAGTTAGTGTACAAAAGCATTTTAAAGAGGTTTGAAATATTGTGAGAATTACCACAATGTGGCAGAGAGCCACGAAGTCAGCACACACTGTTGGAAAAGTGTTGCTGATACAATTGCTCAATGCAGGGTTGTCAGAAACCTTGAATTTGTTGGGGGGAAAAAAAAAAAGAAAGAAAGAAATCTGCAAACACAAAAGTATGCTTGTATAACTACTAGTTATGAAATTCATAAAGGTGTTTTGACATACTTTATTTTATAATTTTGTTAAGATCTAAATATTTTCATGTTACTTGCTTCTTTCTTATCAGTGACAAACGAGGAACAAGTTCTAGTGATGAAAAATCAGTGCCTTAAATTATTTTCTTTTGTTGTTGAGAAGATACACAGCAAAAGATACACCAATTCAACAATATCTACATGTACACTTTAGTGACATTGATTATATTCAAGTTGTGCACCCCTTCTCCCCTTCCTTCTCGAGTTTTTCCTCCCTATACCACTTCCCTCTAAAAAATAAAACCAAACTCACTGCCAACGAGTCAATTTCAACTCAGAGCAACCTTCCTTGGGTTGCCGAGATAGTATCTCTATGGAAGTAGATTGCCCAGTCTTCCTTCTAAGGAAGGTTTGGTTAGCAGTCAAAAGCATTAGGCACTACGCCACTGGTGCACCCATTCTCTTCCTCCTTCTCAAGTATTTCCTCCCCTATTAATATAAACTCACTTCCCCCTGAGGTTCCTGTCTAATTTTGAGTTGCTGTTATTAATTTGATTCCATATAAATAGTTCTTAAAAGAGCATAATGCTCAAGGCAGAAATTGTTTTCTAGTTAAGCTAAATTATTGTTTGATTTTAAGGGGATATTTTTGGTTTAAGGTTTAAAAATTTTCTCAGGGCACAGTTTCATTAGTTCATCCAGTCTCCATGGCTCCAGAAAATCTGAGGTCCATGAGGATTTTAAACTCTGTTTTGTATTATCCCCTTTTTGATCAGGATTTCTCTACAGAAACATTCATCAAAATGTTGAGTAATGGTAGCCAGGCACTGCCTAGGTCTTCTGGTCCCACGGCAAAGGAGACAGTTACTCATGGAGGCAAATAGCCACATATTCTATTTCTTCCCCCATTCCTCACTCTTTTTTCCTCTCTTGTTGTAGGCAAGTACAGAGCAATTATTGTGCCTAGGATGGTAGCTTAAATTAGTTTTGAATTAACATTCATTACCTTTTTATCTCTATACATGACCTTATGTGTATTTCATCTCTATAGGAGTTTATTTTCCCATCTACTAATTTAAAACCTAATAGACTTTTAGCCTAATAGACTTTTAACAAATGATGAAATTTAATTACTAAAGTATTCTTACTTTATGCTTCTATAAACCCAGAAAAATTATTTAGTTATTAGAAATTATAATTTATAGTTAGTTAAAAGTAGACTTTTAATGTTAAAAAACAGATTGTGAGGCTGTCATTGTTAAACTGGTGAAATTAAATCTGGCTGTTAATAGGTGAAGGAGCCCTGGTGGCAAAGTGGTTAAAGTGCTCGGGTGCTAAATGAAAGGTCAGCAGTTTGACATCAGCAACAATTCAGCAGAAGAGTTTATCAGTCTGTTTCTATAAAGATGTGCAGTCTTGGAAACCCTTTGGGACAGTTCTACTCTGTGCTATAGTCTCTGAGTCAAAATCTACTCGATGGCAGTGGGTTTGGTATTTTGTTGTTGTTGTTGTTTGTTTGGTGAACAAGTGACTTTCTGTAATTGAGAGTAATTACCTCTCATTGGTTTCTATATTATAAACAAACATACTTGATCCCTGTGTGTCAGCAAACCAAAGAGAAAATACTTCTATCAAGTTCATTCCGACTGATAGCAACCTTTTTAGGATAGCATAGAACTATTCCATAGGGTTTCCAAGGCTATAAATCTTTTACAGAAGCAGACTGCCTTATCATTCTCCTGTAGAATGGCTGGTAGTTTCAAACAACTGACCTTTTTGGTTAGTGTCTGAATGCCTTAACCACTGTGCTACCAGATCTCCTTAAAGGAAAATAATTTTCTTTAAAAGAACTCTGAAAGTGATTTCCAGAAGAGAATTGCTCTGCCAACTTCTTCTACTGAGAAAAGTCTTTGTGTATTTTTCTTTTTTTTGGTACTCTTGTGGAACCCTCCCTCTTCCGTTTTTCCTACAGTGAAAAGTTCCCAGAGGCCACAGATCTCTGCCTTGGCATAGAGAGAAATAGGGAAAGGAAAAAAGAGCAAGAGCCCTATAAGAAAAGCATAAATTTCACCATAGTTTTGATAGTTGATGCCAAGTATGACAGAAAAGAAATATCAGTCCTTTATATACAAAGTTGTATTATAGAACTTGAGGATGGTATAAGCAAAATCAATATTAATTTGCATGATTAAAATATAAATATCATTCTTGGTAAAGTAGAGGGTCAGCAAAAAAAAGGGAAGACCCTCAACAAGATGGATTGACACAGTGGCTTCAACGATGGGCTCAAGCATAGCAGGGGATTGTAAGGATGGCACAGGACTAGGCAGCATTTTGTTCTGTTGTATATAGGGTTACTGTGAGTCAGAGCCAACTCAATAGCACCTAACAACAGCAACTACAGAATATAAATACGTGTGTCTGGGTCTTATTATAGTATTGGGAATATTTTTAACAATATTTTATCCCAGTGTGGCTTTCTGATTTTTATCACAGTTTTACATTTAATTTAAAGAGGAAAATGTAATCTACAAGATTTGTCATGAATATAAGTAGTTGCTCTACCCTTTTAATCCCTGTTTCTCCCACTGCATAGACAACCACTTTTAACTCCTGATTTTTTAGTATTAAGTTCATATTGCCATACAAAATGCTTGTCTTGCTTTATTCTTTTACTTTAATTTTAGACATTATCAGTTGACATCTCATCCACCTGCCCTTGCCACACACATATACTCTTCCGTTTTACCTCCTCCTAGTTTATTTTTAGAGTCAGGTCCGACTCGATGGCACATGACGACAACAAGTTTATTTTTATGTCATAATTCTGATTAGATCAATATTTGGCATTTATAATTTTATGACTTTTTAAACATGATTCACAGTCATGTAGTAAATTAGGATGGCTGTTCTTTCCTGTATAAGTTTTTTGTTCTCCCAGAAGCTAATCATTATTTATTTTTTCTTGTTTTTCTATTTATCCTGATTTCAGCCTTTACAAACTTGCCAAAGATTTTGTTTTCTTCACCTTGCTTAGTTTCTATTTCCTTTACATTTCTTCCCCACTCTTTCCTGTTCCTCTAATTTGGGATTTTTGTCATTTAGCCTTGGCTCAAATGTCTGTGATCCTTGGTGATGGAAGCTCTGCATTGGTAGGTGGAGCTTATCACTTGAAGCCCTTTGCCAGATTACTCTGGCTATGCTGGTTCTTTGAGAAGTTTAAGTTTCACGAAAGGCCTTCTTTTTTGTCTGATTAGGTCTCCTAGAAAAGAATCGTCTTTTCTTCTTGTTGGGAAACTTGGGTTTCCAGAGTTCTGAAAGCCAAATGAAGGAGAAGCCTAGAAGCCTCACTGTCCAGTGTATAAATGTTCCACTGATTCACTGATTTAAAGTAGCTTGCTTTTTCCCCTCAGCTCTTATCTCTTCCAGAGTAGAGACTCTCTCTAGTGAGTAAGCCCTAGACTAACAGAATTCAGAAGGAGCTATGGTAGTGTAGTGGTTAAAGTGTTCAGCTGCTAACCAAGAGATCTGCAGATCAAACTTACAGTTGTTCCTTGGGAAAAAAAAAATGAGGCAGTCAGCTTCTATAAAGATTTACAGTCTTCGAAACCTTATGGGGCAGTTCCTATAGGGTCAGTGTGAGTCAGAATTGACTCAAAGGAAGTGGGTTTGAGTATGAACAGGGTTTGGGAAAGAGCCCAGTAGGCACAACAGTTAAGCACTCAGCCACCCAGTGGCTCTGCAGGGGAAAGACTGGCCAATCTGTTCCTATAAAGGTTACAGCCATGAAAACCCATAGGATAGTTTTATTCTGTCATATAGGGACACTGTGAGTTGAATACCTTGATAGCTCGCACCCAACAATAGCAGGGTTTGAGAGGGACAGTTGCCCATCATAATAGTGATACAGATATATCCTGTTGTTTCTTGTGCAAGCTTTCAATTAGTCCTTGTGTTAGCTGCTTTAACACACCCTTCTGCCACTTTCAGAAGTACCTCTTGCCACCAACACCTAGATAGTTTGGTGATTTTAGCTGTAAAATCTGTTTAGCTTCACAGCTTTCTCTTATGGTCATTTAAGATTTAGCCTTTTATTCGACCTACTATATCCTTTACTGTTCGTCACTCTACTTTCTAGCTTTCAGTGTATCAGTGCTATTACATACCTTCCTATTCTCCATATTTTTATGGTTTTATGCCTCAGAAAAATCCCATTCTATGATACAATTTTGGAGGAAGAAGTTAAAATCAAGACCAGTGTTCACTCTGCTATTTTAATCCAAAGTCATGCCTGATAAATCTTGTCCTATACTTTTTTTGGT